CTCTCTCTCTCTCTCTCTCTCTCTCTCTCTCTCTCTCTCTCTCTCTCTCTCTCTCTCTCACTCTCTCTCTCTCTCTCTCTCTCTCCCCCAAAACAACTAGACGTGCTTAATACTGACTTTACGAAAGATGAGTTTCTTACTGTTGACGATGCCTATGTAAATTTATAATGTTGTTATCATGGCTTTCTCTCATGTTTCTTCTCCTTCTCCCCTCTTTCTCCTGCCATTTCTATAAAGGGTTCAACTCTGTCATATTTCAGCCAAATGACCTGAAATTTGGCATGGAGATAGAGTGGGCAAATACCACCCAGACCTTTTTCCTTTTTTTTTCATTTTCTTGAAATAGGCCTTTAAAAATGTTTTATTTGTTTGTTTTTCTTCCATTTTCAGGCGAAAAATATACATTTTTGGATCTGGAGCCCTGGCACGTGCACTAAAACTAAATGACCTGAAATTAATAAATAACAATGAGATTTCTGAAAAAAGCTAAATATTAAAAAGCATGTTTAAGCAAATTTCATATAATTTGTCTCGACTCGACATTTACAGCATTTTCTATTGGTTTCAGTAATCAGAAATACGGACTAGCTTGGTATTGAGTCAGTCGTAACTGGCGTAAACAAAAAAAAAACGTCTTGTCTTGTACAGAACGCGTTTTGTCTGGTGTACTAGAGCGCATTTTGTCTGGTGTAGGGCGCGACTTGTCTTGAGTAGGACGTATTTTGTCTTGCTTAGGACGCGTTTTGTCTGGTGTAGGACACGTTTTGCTGTTCAGAACCCTCCACACTAACAAGGCCTGACACTAACATCATGTCGAGCTCGGCCGGCAGGCAGCAGCAGCCCCAGACTGAGACTGCAGGAGGTACGGTGGTTAACATTTCACACTTTTGTTGCAGTTTCTTCCCTCACTGTATTCTATCATAACTTTCTTCTCCCCATTATAAGAGTTGATTTGTTCGACGTTTTCTTTGTCATTTGTGTGTTTTCGACTTAAAAACTAGGCATCCCATGCGATTTCAGAGCAGTAAAACTGGAAATATTCTGAACAAGGAAAATCTTAGATTTTATACCTCCGGGTTGTTTATTGTATTTCTATATGTTGTTTGTTATGTGTAGTTGATGGTGTTAAATTTGATGTGTTAGATTTAGCGTTCCAGGTTGTGTTAGGTGTTGGATATAAATTTTGGCACAAGTTCTGTGTCCAGATACCGTTCAGTTATTTTATTACGAATAACTTACTCACCAGTATCCATCATAACAAACCCTGTATAACACTGGGTAACATCAACATCTACACAAAATGTACACAACCCGGTGGGCAAGATATGTAGGATGGATGGCTGGTGATACATAGGATATACAAGGGTTTACAAGTATGGGTTTTAGGTAATGTACGCACGTATGCAAACTTTGCATATATGCACAATCTTGCATATATAATTATTTATGAAGTATATTTGCATATATGGGAAGATACCATGCTCCCGTAACCGCGCGCACGGTAACAATTTTTCTTTGTTTAAAAACATGCGCTAAAACGCTGTTTTCCACGATTGCATAGCCACATTTAGTGAAAATATGCACAATTCAAATAACCTTTGGGGAAAATATACATCTATTTGCGGATTTATGGCATTTTTCCACATAATTTTAAGTTCGTTCAAGGACCTGTATAATGTCCTTGGTTCGTTCACTCGGAAGTGTGACTACAGTGTGAGCCGCGAAACCTTCGGCGTGACGGCCCGGTGCTCTCTATACATGTTTCCGCGCAGGTCGAGGTCTGTCCCGGCAAGAAGCTTTCATCACACGCGTGATAGAATGTCATTGGTCCCGGGGATGTCCCGTACTTTAGCATACACCACTACTAATACACCACTTCAACTACTCACAAAACCTGCGTTCGATTGTATCTAATTTCAAACATCAGGAACAACTAATATCTCACTACGTCCGCAAGCCAATGAATACTAGCGCGTTGTTGACAACAAATCTTCATTTATCGACACCGAACACTCCTCTGTGAAACACCCCTTTGTGGAAAAAAGTGGACCAAACCGATAATACCACAAACTTTGAAACTTTTAAACTTTATTTTCAATACAACATAGCAGACAAAAGTCTGAATTGCGTTAGTATTTACACACCATTGAGCTCGTTTTATGTTATAATACACAAACTGTGGGTATTTACAGTTTTAAAAGGAAATTCTTAATTTCTATATAAAACAAATTGGCATGTCTTAAAGATTAAAAGATTAATTACCTAC